GGCGGTCTAACTATCAATCGGACCGTGGAAACCAGATGGAATAGTCTAGCAGACGCTGTAGAATTTGCGGTGAAGAAACTCGGAAGTCGTCACTATTCTGGAACAGCTCATATGTGAATGATAAAATGCGGCCACAACATCCGATGCATCTTTACTTATCATATCCGTACTGTCGTTTCCGTTTATTTCGTTACTGCGCTTTTGGTGATCTGCTCTCACAGAAATCAATGCTTGGTCTGCAGCAAAGTTCTGTCAAGCTCGCAGCGTTCAGAGTTTGCGTGCTTCAGAATAGAGAAACGACAGGGGACATTGCAACGGATGCCTTCAAAAAAGAATCTGCTCCGAATTAGGGATAAGCATGGAGCGTCGAACCCGCCAGAAGAAGCGAGTGGGCGGTGAATCACGTTTTTACACATCGATGGGATTTGATGCCCAGTTGAAGCGGGAAGTGATGTCTGTCATAGACAGGTTGATTGCTGAAATGTCTTAGCTTTCAGCGAGTTCAAGGCCTTGCTAACAAATATGCTTTTCTTGCACCATCAACTCGACTTGGTGAAAACCATGATTATTCGGAGTTGGAGCCTATATATATATATATATATATATATATATATATATATATATATATTATATATCAATGTACACCACCTGTATGCGCATGTTTAAAGGTAAGCATTTCTAGTTATGATTACTTAATGTGACAATGGAACTGAATAGGGATATGGTGATAAACACGCATGATGTCAATGTGTGAAAAAATAGCACATCCAAGAAGATGAGAAGCAAAATCATGTATTTGTGGAATGGGCTGCCTATCAGGAATGGTGATACGATTAACTGCTCTGCAGTTGCTACATGGTCTCCAATCGGATACTGTCTTCCTTTTTGTTACCATATCCAACGGTGGTGCCCACACGCTTTGAGATGGTCGAATTATTCCTAACTGGAGCACGTGTTAAAACTCATCCTTAGCTATTTTGAGTCTTTCTCGATGTAGACATGCGGATGGCAGAAAACTGGTGTACCACTGGGGTGATGTGGTAACATACAGAATGTGTAGTATTCGGCTGATGAAAATTTGGTTTTAATAGATCTGGGAATCTATGAAGGAGCTTGTAATATGGAGAAGAGTTCTGTGGCAAAACGGTAAGATATATATATATATATATTTGAGAAATTCCTTGTCTATGGAAGTTTGTGCTTTTTTGTGACAGATTCAGAAAACGACAAAAGCGTTGAACGTGTTGATATTTCGAGCTTCTTAAAAATACAGTCACCCTGAGGAATCTGCGCCGAACATTATGATCTTGCTGCGCATCTTTCTTATCCGAGGTATAGGCTTTACAACCTGAGCGTTTTTTCTCAAAACTCGAGCTTATGAAGAACTACCTTCGATCAGCAATAAACCATTCAAGGCTCACAAACTTGGCACTTCTCCCCATGGAGACAGACCTTGCCGATGGACTGAATATTCATAGTGTTATAGATAATTTTGTCACAAGTAAAGCACGAAAAGTGTGTTTGTCAATTTTGTACACGAATAGTGTAACAATAGAGATACCTGCACATACAGCAGCACTCTAAAATTACGTCTTTA